AGATATTTTGGTAGAGTCTGTGAGCTGACTACCCAACAGCCATTCTGTTCTTGTTCTTGGGGGTAGAATCCCAATTTTGTCTAGGTAAGAGACATTGTGCCTGATTCCCCATGAGTATTGATTGGCTTAACTCCTACTCCATCATGATAACCTCATTTACCTTTAACAGTGAGTTTAGAGGTGGCAGGTGACCCAATCCTGGCCATTGACACAAAAGAGGAATCTTCTTCTGTGTCTTAATGGGATAAAAGGTTCTGGATACCAAGAAAGTTCCCTCCATTCCCTGTCTTTTAGCTACATTTAGTAAGGAAGTGATTCTAGTGCATACATATTCACAAGAAGGACAGAAGCTGCTCCAAAGCTGCTGTGTTAACTGTCTCTGCAATTACCTACCACCAGAGTTCTCAAAAAATGAGATTTATTAATAAACCCCACTGTTTAAGCCACATTATGTCCCATATGCTATTTATTGTGGCCAAAAGCCTACTAACTGGTATGTTTCCTCATAAGAGGCTTATTTGTGAATCTCATACAACTACATTTTTCAGTCATACATCAATGTTCTTCTTTATAATATGAGAAAGACGTTGATCTGGATTTTATCAGAAGACAGGCCTCGTGCTAGTCAATGAAAGATATAAGAAGGAAGCATTTTACTCAATAGGAGAAACAACCTTTTGCACATGAAATGGGTCTGAGGATTGGTCAGGGTTTGTTAGAATGCAAAAGGGCTCCTGAGGGTCAGCTGTCACAGATGTTAATGTGCATCATCTGGGGCCTGGGCTAGATTAGAGTGTTCATAAGATTCTAAATTCTATGCGCTTTAATTTTCACATGACAACTTCTAGGATCACAGACATTTTCATATGAAGATGAAATCAAGCAACTCTTCTTCCAGATATGTTAATATTTTATAACTTTGTTGGCTTCAGCTCAGACTAACAACCAGAAGCCAGCTTTTAATTGCTTTTGTCTAATTATTTATGAAAATTCAAATAATATCTTAGCATTCACCATTTAAAATAATTTCATAAATCATTTTAGAAGTGAGCAAGAAATAAATCATAATAGAAAAGCAGGCATTGTAATAATTCTGAGGAAAAATTACCATTTTTCTTTGAGTTGTTTATCTTAATAGAAAGTATGAAATGTGTGAAAATATCTACAATTGTTAATGCCATGATGGAATCTATAAACCTGTAAGCATGAGATTTACATGTATCTCTTACGTGATTTAGTTCTGTATGTGTACAAATTCTTTAAGGAACACGATTTGACTTACATCAATGCAAAATTATGCTACGAAATACTGAGGCAATCTCAAATTTTATTTAATGATAGAATTAATCCGCAGAAACCAGTGTAACTGTTTTTTTTTAATATTCAAGTTTTATGGTAAAAAGAATTGAATAATCCTCTTCCCAAGCATCTAACAGCTGGATATGATGCCAACAGGGGCACAGAGGTGAACTGGGCGATCAGGGAGGAACGGCAGACAGAGCCCAGATAAAACTATCATCCCAGGGTGACCATGTACATGCGCAGTGCTGTGCACTGTACATCAGAGGCTTAAAACTGCAGAGAAAGTAGACTTCACTAAAAATGTCCAACGAAGACACTCAGTAAATAAACAGGCGAACAACAAAAACATGCCCTGGAGTTGGCAGTAGTTATGCACAGCGCGGGCCCAGAACTTCGCGGGTCCATCAACATCTGGTCTCTGCTGAGCCCGCTGCGCGGACGGACGGCGGGCTGGAGGGGTCGGACAGGGCCGGCGGACCGAAACACGGAGGACGCCGCGGGGACTGGCTCTCCCGGCGGCGCTCGCGTTCCTACTGGCTGTTGGCGGCGGCGGCGGCAGCGGCGGCGGCCGGACTTAGGTGTTCTGCTCGCCCGCCCAATGGCTGCTGCGCCGTAGCCCCGCGCACTCATTGGCCGCGAGGGCCGTCAGTCGGGGGAGTGGATAGCCGCGCACGCAGATCACGTAAGACCGGCGGCTGCTGCAGGCGCCGCCGCCCGCCATATTAAACAGTAGCATCGCGAGCGCCGCCTTCCCTCGCGGCTCCCTCTGTGCTTCGGTTCGCCGGCCCTGTCCGGGCGCTTCCGGCCCGCTGTCCCCTCCGCTCAGGGGACCCCGCGGAGACCAGATGTTGATGGACCGTGAAGTTCTGGGCCCGCACTCTGCTTGGCTGCGCCGTCCTCCCGGCGCGCATGCAGGGGCGGCACTGACCTCGCCTCCCGGCCTCGGATCTTCTCTTCGCGCCCGCTGGGCCCCCGGCCCTGCACTCGCCCCTTGGCGCTCTCGCGGAGGGCGGAGGGCGGCGATAGGCCCGTACTTGGAGCCGCTGGCCCGGCCGGACTAATGAGAGCTCATCCGAGAAGCGTCTCCCGCTGCCGCAGATCTGCGGTGGAGGGTCCAGAGCGGGCCCCGCTTCAGGGATGAAGGCGACAGCGACGGCTCTGCGGCCTGGAAGGTTGGCCCCGGAGCGCGGCGGGACCCGGACCGGGCGCGGGGACCCCTGCCTCCGTCTGAGGTCGCAGGGGAGCCGGACGAGTGGGCGGCCGTGCGAGTGGCTCGGCGGGCATCGCGTGGCTCGCGGGGCCGGGAAGCGGCCGACGCGGGTGGTGGGCTCGCGGGGCCTGTCCGGGAGCCGGGAGTCGGCGCTCTCCGCCGGAAGGGCTTCCCGGGAAGGGCGGGAGCGGAGCAGGTGCTCCCGGGGCGGACGTCCGAGCGGCCGGCGAAGTTCGCCGGGACGGAGGGTGAAGGGGCTCGCGGGAGCCGCTGCTCCTCCGTCTGGGCCCGGCTGGTGAGGGCGGCTGCTATGCGTCGCGCGGCGCGCGTCCTCCCGGCCGGGGCCGCGCCGCCGACATGCTACCGCCGCCCGGGACGGGCCCGCAGGCGGAGGGGTCGGGCCGGGCTGCGCAGACGTGGGAGGCCAGTGGGCGTTTTGCCGTCTGTGGATTTTCTCGGCGGTGGCCTTGAGGGCGAGGGCCGGGCGAGCTGAGATTCAGGTGTGACCCGCGGCGGGGTGGCGGGGTAGAGGCCGCCCGGAGGCAGCGCCTTTAAAAATAAAACGTTTTTTCGTGAGGTTACTCTCGTATTTTTTATTTGGGAATGAACTTTCTTTGATCTGGGAACTGACAGTGCATTTGCTTGTATTTAGAGATTCATGTCTTTTTGTAATTTCGGTTTGTAATCTGCAGCTGAGTAATTTGTAACTAGCCACAGAGATTCTGAGACGGGGACGGTGGGTAGTCAGAGTAGGGTGAGGGCCTCTGGAAAAAGACCCCTACCAAAACAACGTATTAAACAAAGTCAGAGTCATATTAATTCTCTAAAGTAAAATATCAAACTTGGAGCATTCTTCAGTGAAGATAAGTTAAAACTAAAAATCCAGGAGTAACCTGGCCTGGAATGTTTGAACATCTCCCAGATAAGAAAGTACATCAGCATAGCCCATGTCTTCATGTGTCAATTAAATGAGGCTATTGTAAAATTTACTTTAGCCTGCTAAAAGGCCCAGTTTATCTTTAACTTTGCCCAAATGCTGCTTTTACTCCTCCAGCCCCTAATCAAATACTGTATAACCTGGGCAATTAATATGGCAATAAGCCCAGCCACAAGCAATATAGTAAAAGGCAGGAAGGATCCCATCTTAAAGATAAGATTGCATTTTAACATCTAGGAAGTTAACAAGTAAGATTCTTAACTTTCTCTTTAGCAAACAGACAAGACCTCAGCCCACCTTTGAGGAGCAGTGGAGGAGGAGGGGGAGAGGTGTAGGTGGGGTGGGGGCTGAGCAGCGTTCAGGGGTCGCGCGATCAGGGTTTGGAAGGCCGGGTGCTGTGTTTACAGGTGCCTGCTGCTAGGGCAGCCCGCGTGTGTGTCAGTCCCTCAGTCCTAGGACTGAGTCGCCTCCTGTGTACAAAACCAGTTTTTATACTAGCGTCTTTATTTTGGAAAAGAATCCCCTACAGGATCCCTGAGAATGGCGATCTCCTCCCACCCCATTCCCTGCAGGAAGGGTAAAATAAGGTTGACAGGTTACACTCCCAAACACCCCGACTTAGAGCACCCACTGTGCGCCCGTGAGAAGCCCCAGGAGGGCGAAGTGTGCAGCTATGTAAGGCATTGGGGGCATGGGGGCAGTGTACATGTGCGTGTCTGCCCTCAGGTGTCTGAGCCCTGCTGGGTTCCTGACAGGCTGTGTGGCCTTCGCTCAGTCCCTTTTCTTTGGGCTAGTGACTAAGTTGGACTAGATGTTCTCTGCAGCCCCTGCCTGCCCCGACTCTTGAGAAGTGTGTTGGATAGAAGTTTCACAGAAGTGGTGAGGGCTTGCAGAAATTGGAATTGATATGAGGAAAGAGTTCAGTCTTCCTCAGGGACCTTCGTCTAAAAAAGTCTAGACATCTCAAAGGGCATGTGTCTGTAAAGAAATGGGAGGCAGAATCTAAGGCTGGGGATCAGCGCCCAGCTGATCTGAGAGCCAGACAGACAGTAGATGTGAATGTACTTGTGAGTGTTTGAGTGCTGTGCCAACATTACTGAAGCACTGTTGCTGTTGTGAAAGCCCCTCCCCCTCACTACAAAAATTTTACACCTACCTTCCATCTGTTTCTCTGCTGTGCTGAGGCCCCCCAGGAAGAAAACTAGCACTGACCGGGGATGTGGAAGCTACAGGAGGCTTTGGCCTGAAGCCTGGACTCCGGCTACCAAGATTTTCCCAGAATATTGTTTCTGCTAACTTAGTTTGAGTTCCTAAATTTTTGTTGTATGCCATCTTTTTTTTTTAATTTTGGTATCATTAATCTACAATTACATGAGGAACACTATGTTCACTCGACTCCCCCATCACCAAGTCCTCCCACATACCCCATTACAGTCACTGTCCATCAGCATAGTAAGATGCTATAGAATCACCAATTGTCTTATGTGTTGTACAGCCCTCCCCATGCCCCCCCCCCCGCTACATTATGTCTGGTAATAGTAATGCCCCCCCCTTTTTTCCTCCTTATCCCTCCCTACCCACTCTCCCCAGTCCCTTCCCCTTTGATAACTGTTAGTCCATTAGTTCTGTGAGTACCATCTTTTATATTTCATGGATGCTGCACAGAAAGGGGACTGTGGGATTGGTGCGCGTGCGCGCTCCGTCGTTGTGGGGTTGGGGGCAGCGCCCGATGGGGGAGGGGTCTGCCTGCAACCAACGCCGCGCACGCTCGTCCCACAAGCCAGCTCCGCCAATTGCGGTGCCAGCCGCGCATGCTCGTCCTGCCGGCCAGCACCGACTACTTCCGGTGCCCGCCATGTTTCCTTCTAACTGCGCGGTCACCCGCAGCAGAGAAGGAAGCTTCTTGCTTGAGCCCGCCCGTCGCTCGCCTGTACCTCCTGCTCATACCGTTCCCGCCGGCTGCTGCCCGGCCGCCTCCAAGGCCTCCTTCCTCTGATGTTGCCGTCACCGGCCAAAGCCCTGCGCCGCCTGCTGGAGCCCTCCAACAGCCGCCGCCCGCCGGCTCCAGGAGCCCACCTCGCCAGGGTCCCTGCGTCCTCTTCCTCACTCAGGCATGTCCTTGCAGAGGCAGCTCACCGTAAGCAGCCACCCCCAGGGGGCGGGTGGCGTTGGCTCGGGAAGGAGTCCGCTGCGGGGAGCTGCGGGCTGGAGCTCCTTGATGGCCGGGTCTGCGGCTGGGGATGGAGTCCAACCCGCCGTCTGCAGGTGTGCCGTGAGAGGCGGCAGAGGCAGCAGTGGGGAGCGGGGTTTGCAGTGGGTGGCAGCATGGACAGGCTGCGCTCCATGGTGGGCCGTGGCATCTGCAGCGGCGGGAGGCACGGGTGTCTGTGCCATAGGTGGACTTCCGAAGCTGCTGTCGGCAGATTCGCAGCCAGAGGCGAGGGAAAGGCGTTGGCAGTGGGAGGGTAGCATCTATGGCTGGCGATGGCATCGGTTGGGGGGCGGCAACTGGTGGTGGTGAGCGACACTTGGCGGCAGCTGGCCGTGTTGGTTGGTGTCGGTTCTGGGGGCGGAGGGGCAGCAGCGTAAGGGGACGGAGTCCGCCCGCAGCTGACGCTCAGCATGCCCACCCCCCCGTCAGGCAAAGCCAGTGGCCTCCGACACTGCGGGGGGCCTCCTGTGCTTCCCAGACGGGTCAGCGCGGGAGTCCAGGGAGTGTGTCAAGGTCCCATCAGCCAGCTCCGCCTACCTCCAGTGCCTGCTGCACATGCTCGTCCTGCCGGCCAGCGCCGCCTACTTCCGGTGCCCGGCATGTTTCTTTCCAACTGCACATGGCGCAGTGGTGAGTGCATCCCTGTGGTGTCAGCTGCCCTCCTCCATGTGTGTATGCGTGTGGTGGTGTGTGTGTGTGAGAGCACTGTGCGGCCTGGGACAGTGTTTGTGTCTCTGGGTGCCTGTGCGCTAGGAGAGCTTGAGAAAGGCAGCTGGCTTTCCATAACTGCCTAGTGGAGAAGTCAGGTGGGGAGACCGGGGCGGGCTGCTGGGGAGATTGGCCTCAGCAGGGAGGCCCCTGGAGCATGCATAGTCCTAGGTGAGAGCATCCTTCCCCACCCCCTTCCACCTGGCAGGTTGCCTGCAAATCAGGGCTTCCCCTGTGACCCACTCTCCCTGCCTCCGAAAAGCCCTCCTGCTGGTGGACTGTCCCTTCTTAGTGGGGAAGCCCAGTGGGTCAGGTTCACCCTCTTAGTGACATTTTTGTTTTTCCTGTAAGGTCTCCACGGGGAACAACTTTGTTTCTCTGAAGTCAACTCATGAAAGTTCTACTTGATCCATTTCTGCAAACATCTGCTGTTCCCTACCTCTAGGGTCACACAAGGCAGGTAGGTAATTCCTTTTAGGATCCTTAGCAAGCCTCCGTTCAGTGCCCTTCCTCATCCCTTAGCATGACAGAGAACACAGCTGTTCTCTGAGAAACCTCCCTCCTGCACCAACCCATGGTGGCTGCACACCACATCCTTGCCAGCACCTGTTATTTTTTTGTTTCTTGGATTTTGGACATTCTGACTGATGGGATGTGACATCTCATAGGTTTTAGTCTTGCATTTCCCTGATGATGAGTGATATTGAGCATCTGTTGGCCATCTGTATGCCTCCTTGGCAAGTCTTTGAAGTAGGTGAGGGGTGAGAAAATGAGAATATTTGATATCTTGATCTGAAGTAGGTGATGTGTGTACATATGTCAGAATTCATCGAACTTTACTATTTGTGCATTTTATTGTATGTATTTTGGTGTAAAGTTTTTTTCAGAGCAAAAATCTGGTCCTCTGACAAGGGTCAGTGGTGGAGAGACCGTGTATTCTGGCACTCTGTGGAGGTGATCTCGGGCTGCTCTAATATACATGCATCTTTGGGTGTAGGAATGGGTAGTTTCTGTCTTGCAACCGTCTAGGCGGGCTACTTAGTGAAGTGGTCATTCCTGCTTGCTGATGCAACTCAATCTGGTACATGCTATTAGAAAATTAATAAATAATGAAGTACAGTGTAGGAGTTAAAATTTTGTTCCATGGTGCCATCAAAACAGAGGGTAGCTTTGGGACAGAGGTGAGGAGGCCTGAAGCGCACATAAACCCCTGCCCCCCTCTCCTTGGCATTACTTACAGACCCTGATGGGCACCGTGAAGCCCAGCCAGAGGGTCAGTTTCCTGGGGTAAACGTCAGGTAGCATCGAGTTCATTCTCCCTCTAGGCTTGTGGCTCCCAAGGCCTTAGCCTAAAGGGGCATGCCATGGAAGTATAAAGGACTTAAGACCTATAATTTAACTTTGACAAAGTTATGTAAGTTTTACTCATACCTTAATAATCGAGAAAGAGGTTATGATACTGGTTTGAAACCATTTTTTGGGAGTTTGATTCCTTCCTTGTTTGCTTAAGTTTACAAAGGCAGGCTCCTCAAATGTATGGTAAGGTGGGGAGCAGCTGTGTAATCATTCAAGATTAGTATTAGTTCTACCATGTGCACCTCTCATTTAGAAGCAAAAGCTTCTCAGATTATAAAAATTATAACGGCACTTAGTGAAATAAAGGATCCTATGGACAACACAGTATTTCATGTTGTGTAAACATCTGGGTAATCAGAATAACGTGGCTTTCCTGAAAGTCTGAGAAAATGTTGAGGGGAAAAAATTATATTAACACCCACAAATATAATTGTAAAGTGAATCTTTGCTCATGTAGGGTTGAGGGTGTATCCTGAAAATATAGGAAATCAATGTACAAATCCCCCCATAATAGCAAAAACTGCACCTATGGAGAGCACATAATAAAATGGGCTCTACTACATAGTAAGTATCATAAAGAACAATATCTAATGATGAAATAACTAGTACAATACCGGTTAAGCCCCCTACTATAAACAGGAAAATAAAGCTCAGGGTCCATAATTTGGCCGGGGATCATTTTACATTTCTGCCATGTAGAGTTGCTAATCAACTGAATATTTTCACACCTGTTGGAATTGCAATAATTATAGTGGTAGATGTAAAACAGTCTTGTTTATCAGCGTCTATGCCTACTGTAAATATATATGTTCGTATAATGAAACCTAGAAAGCCAATTGACATTATTGCCCAGACTGTGCCCATATACCCAAAAGGTTCTTTCTTCCCAGAATAGTAGGTTACAATATGAGAGAGGATTCCAAAGCCAGGAAGGATTAAAATAGGTACTTCGGGGTGACCAAAAATCAGAATAAGTGTTGATATAAAATTGGATCCCCTCCCCCAGCAGGGAAAAAAAACGTATTTAGTTTGCGTTCTGTTAAAAGCATAGTAATGCTGGCAGCTAGAACAGGGTAGAGACAGTAAGTAGTTACAGCTCCTAGGAGTACAGCTGTAACTAGAACTGATCACACAAATAGTGGAGTTTGATATTGGTTTATAGTGGGAGGATTTATGTTAATAATAGTTGTGATGAAGTTAAAATAACCCCTAGAATTGGTAAGACACCTGCTAAGTGAAGAGAAAAAATAGTTAAATCCACTGAGGCCCTTGTATGTGCTAAACTACCTGCTAAGTAATTTATATGGTTCAAGCCGTGCTAGCTCCTGTTTCGACTGTAGAGGATGTTAGAAGAAAGGAGGGAGGGAGGAGTCAAAGGCTTATGTTACTTATATGGGGAAATGCTATGTCTGGGGCACTAATTATTAAAGGCACCAGTCAGTTTCCAAAGCCCCCAGTTATAATAGTATTACCATACAGAATATTATTAGAAAGGTGTGCGTGGTTACACTTACATTATAGATGTGGTCACCACCTAAGAGGGTCCCAGGCTGGCCTAGTTCAGCACCGTAAGGTTGGAAGCTTAGAGCGGGTTCCACTATTCCAACTCAAGCGCCAAAAAGAAGGTATAATGTGCCGATGTCTTTGTGATTAGTTGAAAATAATCAACGATTGATGAACATGGCTAAGGTGGCTGAATAAAAGTATTAGACTGTAAATCTAAAGATAGAGGTAAAGTCCTCTTCTTGCCAAGTCCTGAGGTGTTTTACATACTGGATTGCAAATTCAGAGAAGCAGCTTAAATTCTGCCGGGACTTCTCTCACCACCTTTTTTTTTAAGGCAGGAGAAGTAGATTGAACCCAGCTGATTAGGGTTTTTAGATGTTAACTGAAGTTTCATGGGTTTGTATCCCATCAATCGTGAGGATTTAGCTTAATAAAAGTGATTTGCATTCAAGTGATGTAGGATACAGTCTTACAGTCCTTAGGATTAGAAGTTAAGTGTTTTATACTTGCTTAGAGCTTTGAAGGGTCTTGGTCTGTGTAACCTAAATTTCTAGTTTAGAATTGGTATGGTTGGAATTAGTAAAAGTATTACTGTGGATAGAATAATTAGGGGTGGGGCTAATTTTATGTGTTTTGTTGTTTCAAATTGTCACTTTTATGTTGTTGGTTATTAGGAATATTGTTAGTGTTGTGGAATAAGTCAGTGCATATAAAAACATAAGTTTAGTGGAGCTATCACTGCTATTATTGGTAATATTATGTTTCTGCTAAGTTCTTGAATGATCATTCATTTGGCTAATGGTGGAAGGCCTCCAAGTATAGTTAGTATTGTGAGCATAATGGTTGTAATTAGCAGTGTCTTATTTGATAGGTGAGACAAAGATAAGGTTGTTCTTGGTAAGTTGTATACTAGCATTATGAATATTCATAGGGTCATTATGTAAATTAGATTTAGAATAGTAATAGTTGGATTATATGTTACTATTCAACCTATGTGGGCAATTGAGGAGTAAGCTATAATTTTTTGTAATTGTGTTTGGTTTAGACCCACTTAGCCTCCAATTAAAATTGAGAGTGTTGCTATAGGTATTACCAAGTTTATGTTAACTGTGGGTGAAATTTGACATAGAACTGAGATGGGTGCGATTTTTTGTTGGGTTAATAGTAGTATGCCCTATGACAGCAGGGTTCCTTGTGCTACTTCTGGAACTCAGAAGTGGAATGGGACTAGTCCCAGTTTTATGGCTATGGCTATGGTAATAATGATAGATGCCATGGTATCATACATTTTTGTAATAGCCCATTGTCCAGAGAATATGAGATTGATAGTGATGGCTAGCATTAGTAATATAGACACGGTGGCTTGTCCTAGGAAATCTTTTGTTGTTGCCTCTATAGCTTATGGATTGAATTTTTTCATTAAAATAGGAATCATAGTGAGTGTGTTTATTTTGAGTCCTGGAGGAGACCCTGGAGAGAGCCAGCTGGACTGCAGAGCTGTAGATGCGTCAGTGGCAGATGGTGCCCGGAGACGGGAAAGGGGAATTAGAGAGGATTTAGGAGTCCAAGGCCCTGGGTTAGGAGTGGATGCCTGGCCTCACCTTTTCCAGGAACGTGGCTGTGGGTGTGGACTCAGCCCATGTGGTTCCCTCTCCTGTACAGCAGCAGCTGAACAGGTCTCTCCCTGGGTACTAGGTGAAACTGCAACCCGGATTGGAAACAGTTCTTGACTCTGACAGGGAAAGAATTCTCGACCAGGTCAAACGTGTGCCAGGAAGAAAGGAATTCATTACAGCAAGAGTAGAAGCGAATGTCAGCAGCTGTGCAGTCAGTAGAGAGCAAGGCAGAGCAGAGGGAGAAAAAGAAAGTTCATTGAATTGCTGCTTGGCACAGGGCATATTCCTTGGTAACTCCTGAAGCCAGGGTCACCTGGCATCCAGTGTCCACTTGATCTGCATGGTTTGAGAATTATATCCCTACAATCTGAGAATTTGGGGAGCCATGGAGCACTGGATGGAGTGAGATTATGTTCTACGCACTACTGCTTCCCCACTGGTCTTAAATAAAACAGGGAGAGAGAAAAGGATTGTAAAACTGGAAAGCGGAATAAAGTAGCAAAGTGACAGAGACGTTTACCTCTGGAGGTAGAGGTCAGAGGGCTTTTGTCTTTATTAGGGTAAAGAGTTCAGAGACAAGTCCAGTTGGCTTGTGCAACAAGAAGGTTCATTTACTGTCAGACAGCAGACACCCAGATGGGAGTGCAGGTGACCTGAGAGAGGAGGCGCAGTTACGGGCCTTTTGGGTAGCTGTGGGCATAAGGCATGCTGCATACAGGTGATTCCTAATTGCTTTGAAGTTTTGTCTTAAGAGTAGGGTTATTCAGGGGACTGTCTTGATCCAGATCTCAGCATATTTTATTCCCCTAGGTTCACTTACACTTCGTAGGTCTATCTCCCATCCTGGTTACAAGGTTCTTTAATTGATAGGGGGGCAGGAAGAAGTGTAGATGAAGTTAAAGTATAAAGTGGGCTTTTTTCAGGCTGAGTATATTTTACAGTGGCATGACCCTCATCCCATTTCTCTGCTCTGTCTCACTGC